TTAGCAAGCTCAACGCCCTGGGTTTGATCTCCAGTACCACAAAAAAACTGGTTGTGGTAGTACACACCTACAATTCCAGCACTCAAGAGATAGAGGCCATCTTTGGCAACACAGCAAGTTCAAGATCAGCCTGGGCTACAGCCTGCCTTAAAAAAAATAAAATAAAATATTCAACCCACATTAGTTACTATGCCCTCAGTATTAACTAACGGAATACCATGCACAGAGGTAAGTCCAAGCTTTATGGAACTCATACTTAAATAGTAATAAAATAACTAGGACTGGAGGTGTGGCTTAGCAGAAGTCTAGGGCTTCATTCAGGTGGAACTGAGTGGCAGAGTGCTTGCCTAACATGCATGAAGCCCTGAGTCTGATCCCCAACACCGAAAAATAATTTTTCTTTTGAAGAAAGAACTGTCATGAATAAATCATAGCATAACAAAAACATCAAATATTTAGAAAAGTAGGAATTTACTGCATTCATTTTATCTGTGTGAGTATGTGTGCACTGTAGTGGACATGCAGAGGTCAGAGGACAACTTGCAGGAATTGCTTCTCTCCTCCCACCATGGGAGTACCAGGGATGGAACCCAGGTCTTCAGTCTTGAAAGCAAGCATCTTCATCCATGGATCCATTTTACCAGCCCAAAAGAAAGGATTTAAATGTGCTCAAAGAAATGAATTGTCCAACCACCAGATGAGTTTCACCAAGTAGCCAGTCCCAAATAGCTCCAGACATCTTTATTTATACATCAAAAACAAGCCTGTATTTCCATACTAATAAACAAGTTTTTCCCATCCTCCAACATTAACCTCCAACAAAAACAAAAATGTCAAATATGTTTTTTCCCAACTTTTACATCTAAACATCTTTAAACCCAAAACAACACATCATTTTGCTAGCTTGGCTGAATATCGAGCCAGGTACATCCTGTGTTTACAAAACTAAAAAGTGATTGACAGAGGCACACATTTTCAAGAACAATAATCCCCTTCAAAACATATTTACAGAAATAGGGGTGATCTGCATTCAATCCTGTCAGCACTGAATCAGAACAGCTCCCGGGATCTGGAGTGACAGCTGGTGTCCCCAGACAAGAAACCTGAGAAGCATCAGCTCCCAAAGAATTTGGGGGAGGGAAGGGAAATATTTGAGAAGAAAATGGGGTTTCCATGAATGATCACATCTGCCCCATGCATAATTGACAAAACAGCACTAAAACCACCAAGAGAAGAGAGCATATAGGCTGTGTGGTCCCAGCAGTACTCTGCACTGTTCCAAAGTCCACTGGTCCTTGCTGAGTGAGATTGTCCTCATGGGCTTTTGCCTTATCTGGAGACCCATTGAACAATCCCTCATATACTGGTCCAAAACTAGGCTGCATGACTCTCAACAGTGGGTGGATGGAGAGATAGATTGATCAAGGGTGGGTGTTAGCAGATAGATGGAGAATTGAATGAACAGGTGGTTGCAAGGATAGATGGATTTGCCTCAATCAAACCATTATGGGGGGACATGGTGACACATACCTGTAATCCTAGTACTCAAATGGAAGATGCACAAATATCCTGATACTTTTTTAAAACAACTGGAGCTATCCAACAAGACCTTGTCACAAAAGGTAGGGGTAGGCTCAGTGACAGGGAGTTGGTAACCCAGTTTCATGGTGATGACTGGGATAAGGGCTGTGAAGCCTAGTCTTAAAGGGACACTGGGAATCTCACCAGTAAACGTGAAGTCTATAGAACGAGAGCACAGTTTAGTGGTAGAGCAGTTGCCTACCATGCACACAGCTCTAGTTCTACCCCAAAATTGCAGATGTAGATAGATAGGTAGGTGAGTAAGTGGTTGGGTGGGTGGATGGATGGATAAATGGATGATTGGATGGATGGATAAGTGGATGAATGGATGAGTGGATGGATGGATGGATGGATGGATGGATGGATGGATGGATGGATGGATGGATGGATGGATGAGTAGGTGGATGGATGGATGGATGGATGGATGGATGGATGGATGGATGGATGGATGGATGGATGGATGGATGGATGGATGGTTGGATGGATGAATGGGTGGGTGGATGGATGGATGGATGGATGGATGGATGGATGGATGGATGGATGGATGGATGGATGGATGGATGGATGGTTGGATGGATGGATGGATGGATATCTAGATGATATATAGATAAATGATGGACAGATACTTGTGGACAAGTGGTTTTTTTCTAATTTGTGTTGCTGGCCTCCACCCCCACAAGAGAAAAGAAATTAAATTGATGCATATTTCTGGGAGCTGAGAAACCCAGGACTGAGAGGCCAGCATCAGGGAAGGCCTTTCTGAGTTATTCCATAGCAGAAGAGCAAACAAGGAGTTAGAAAGGAAGCAAGAAGGAGCCAAGCCATCCTGTCATGTGGACCCCACTCCAGTGTCATGGAACCTACTCCCTCCCTAACATGAACTCAGCCTTGGATTAAAGCTCACACACAGCCCCATCTCCCAGCACTGCTGTACTGGGACTCTGCTCCAGTGCTTGAACTTTGGGAACCACCCTCAACCACAATAACCAGTAACCATTAGCGCACACAAAGCCTTCAGTCAACTCCAATCTGCTGCTCCAGGTGACTCTCTGAGGATGATGCCAGCCATGGATGACTCTGACCAGATCAGCCTATCCTGATGAAGCTCACTGAAGTTAACCCAAAATATAGACCCATTAGGCATGTGGGGACTAAAGAAAATGTGTTACAAATGTGAATCCTTTATCAACAGTGAAGAAGCAGATGGGACGAGGGAGAGGTCATGTACTGCTATTAAAACAAAGAAGACCATGAAATGCCAGAGATCAAGAGTGTGCCTTACACACACACACACACACACACACACACACACACACACACACACACACACACACACACACACCACTACTCCCTGGGGGTGCAAGTACACTTCCCTGCCATTAGTCTCCCCTACCCCACAGCCCACCTCTGCTCTCCACACATAGAGGGTTCTCAGGACCTTGTCAAATTCCTGTCTCCCATGGCTCTCTAATGGCCTGGTGCTCTGAACAGCCAGAACAGTACGACTTAGCCCTGGGAATGCACCAGTAGGGTTAGGTTGCATTTCTTTGAAGATGAAAACGAAACATTAGCAAGAATCTCTTTCTGAGCCAGGTGTAGTGGTACATGCTTATGCTCCCAGCACTTAGGAAGCTAAGGCAGGATGGATGATTGAAAATTAAGGGCTAGCCTGGGCTATAAAGTGAGCTCAAGGCCAGCCTGTGCTACTTAATGAGCCCTTTGTCAAAAAAAGAAAGAGAAACGAGTTTCTTCTCCATGCTAGGGTCCTTGCATGGAGGGTCTTTAGCTAAAGAGAGCTGAATGCTGAGCTTAAGGAGATGTAGGAAAAGAAAGGTACCTGATGTCAATCATGTCCAGGACAACTCAAAGTCCCCAAAGCATTTGTGAGGGCCAGCCTCCAAGGAATACTCTCTCTCTGACCTAGGTATGGAGCCATAATAAGAGTCAATTGAACCCTGGCAGAAGTGTCAATGAAGTGATATTAGAGAGAATCATTATGTGGGCCAGACGTCTCTTCCTTTTTGTTTACCGTCCTGTGCAGGGCTTTGGTGGCTTCTTGTCTTAATTTTACCCTGAGGATCAGGGTCCCACTTCTGCTCACAAGCTGGAACTCATGTCTGCAGTGTTGGGAGGAAAGGGGAGCAGGATGTGGAAATGTTCTGCATTTCCTGGCCTGCCTCAGCCTATACCTCCAGGCTCTTATGTACTTCATTCTCATCATTCCACTGCAAAGAGGTGCCTCCCTCTCAGGAAACACCCCTCCTGACTCCATTCAGCTCTTTTTCTCAAACAGACAAACATGTGTCCTCATGCATGCGCGAGCACACACATAAATAAATGTGTAAATAATCCTTTTACCTCAGTTCCCTCAGGGATGGCTTTATCTGTTACTGTAGTTGCCTCGGCTTTCTCTTACCCTCTTTTGTCAGCCCTGTCCTACTAACCAAAATGATTCTACCACAGTTACTGTGATCTGCCCTTGGCTAAACCCACTTGTTGGTTTGAATTGTCATCTTCGTCACTGCTGGAGGTTTCTGAACACTTACTATTCTCAGGATTCCCAGCCTCAACAGTACACTCAGGCCCTTGAGGATGACCAGCTGATGTCTTCCATTAGAGACATCCCTGTCCATGGGAGCCGTGTCATCATCGGAGGTGACCTGAGAATTATCAGCAGATTTAATCTAACTTGTCCTGAAGCACCCCTCATACCCCTAATAGAGAAGAATTCCAAGTATGGTGCCATTTTCCAAGGTCCCAGGAATGACTTGCCCTCCTTCAGATTGACCTAGCTCTTCCTTCAGAAAAGCTAAAACTCCTGAAGTCTTGATCTACTCAGTTTTCTATCTCTTTGCTGGTTTTCATATGCCCGGCTTCATCCACTGTGTGCTGCTTTATAGAAGACAGCTTCATTTGCAAGAGGCTAGACTCTAGCCTAGCCTCTGGGTTCCATCAACAAAGGGTCCTTTGACTGACTTGAGGTCACTCACCTAGAGTTCACAATCCTTCTACCCACTAAGTCTCCAGCTGTTCCCCTCCCTCCTCCTCTAGCCCTCTCCTCCAGTTTCTCCTCCAAGACTTTCTGAACCCCCCCCCCCAATCACGATCAGGTAGAACCCATGGTTCCCCTCTGGATTGCCTCCCGTGACTAGAAACCTATCACGATCATGTATTGATCATTCTTGACATTCTATTAGGGTCATTTGGGGCTTATTGTCACATTTATTTTCATTTCAAAACAGTGTTTAAAGGCAATCTACAACTACCTGACACCTAAACAAACACCCAGACCCATTATGTCAATAACCTGGTAAATGTTTTACTCGCTGGTCTCCCAGCTGCCACAAGGAGACAGCCGACCATTTGCCAGATGTTCCGATGATGCCTGAAGAGCAATCTAAAGCGGAATTATTCTGAGATAGAGTGATACATTGACAATTTTATACTGACATTTGTTCAGTGTTTCATGCCTACTGGAGGGGGCAATGTGTCATGACAAAAGCGTAGACCAAATCTGGATTCATCTCGAACAAAATTGACTCTGGTTCTGATCCCGACCTGTCCATTTACCAACCCTACTTAGTCTCTGGAACTTTGTTTCCTGACATGCATCATGACCATGGACAGGACTCCAGCTGGTGGCTGGGGTTGGTGGAATAGTAAAAGTGAAAGCCTTCCTTGTGCTTCAAACCTTGAAAGCCCCTTGTGAGTTCTGCTGTCATTGCTGACTTGGGCAACAGAATTCTGTGAGCCAGTATTGCTCATGTTGTGTGGACAGAAAACAAGCAAACCGACTCCACAAGTTCAATCCAGCAGCCTACCTTCCATCGAATGGGCTCATTCCAAACATACTGTACTTTTGTTATTTTACAGGATTCTTCAGAAGACAGTGATACTGAGAACAGGAAATGACTCCCAAAAGTCAAGAATCAGGACCAAGTCTTAGTGCACTGAACAGCAAAAATGTCTAAGGTGTCTATGCATGCATGTGTACATGTTCCAGGATGGTGTGTGTGTGTGTGTGTTTGTGTGTGTGCTTGGTTTATTTTGTTTTGTTTATCTAGAGGGCAGCCCTCTATCTCTATGTAATCAGTATGACCTTGAACTTCTGATCCTCCCACTGGGTTTCCAGAGCTGTGCTACTAGGCCACTTCATGCAATACTGGGAACAAAACCTGGAGGGCTTGTTTGGGCCACGCAGGCACTCTGCCAACTTAGCTGCATCCCCCATAATTGATTGGTTGTACAGGGACAGAGTCCCACTCTGTAGCACAGGCTGCCTTGAAGTCACTGTGTAGCACAGGCTGATCTCAAACCTGTGACAAACCTCCTGCCCAGGGGAACCCTTCTGCCTTGGGAGAATGGGTATGTGCTGACCCAGCCAGGAACAGTATATGCTTCTTATGGAGGGAACATCGAAAACATGTCTTCCTCTGCTAATATCAGCTGTAGCTGGATCTGCTAATAAGAAGAAGATCAGAACCATTTACAATGCAGTCAGTCCTTCTAAGCAGCAAACCCCAATCTACCGGCCTGCTCCGGCAGCCACAGACTCCTTAAGCTGGGGTGGCTTTGTGCTGATGGCTGCAGTTCCCCATCTCCCCTCTTTCTCTGACACTGGGGTTACTACAGAAGCCTCCCTACCTGGTTATTGAGGAAGCATCACGTGAGGTCAGATATTTGAAAGCTTTTGGTAAACAGTAGCTGTTTGCAAAGCTGTCCGCATATAAACAATCCAAATTACTTATGGTAAATCTGTAAGACAAATAAGGGAAAAGCAAGAATAGCCCATCTCTCTGCCTCAGCAGGCAGAAGCAGCGATTCCCATTTAAAAACCCCCAGAGTCTCAATGCCTTCTAAGAATGGATGGAGCCAGAGGGGGGGTTCTAGATCCCAGTCTAGCTTTGGGGTTTTGCCAAACTGCTTTGAAAGTTGACATTTGAAGCCCACCTGCCTCACTTGATGGTGACAGCTTAGATAATCTTAGGCAATTTATTCAATCTTTCCAAGTTTCTCAGTTGATTGAGTAGTTGCCTGGCATGCATAAAGCCCTGGGTTCAATCTCTAGTACTGAATTAAAATAGACATGGTAATGCCAGCACTTAAGAGGTGGAGTCAAGGGCACCAGGAGTTCAAGGTCACAGCAAGAATCATAGCAAGTTCCAGGCCAGCCTGGGCCACATGAGATACTCTCAGTAATTGTAATAACAACAACAATAATAATAACCACACCTACCTCACTAAAGTTATGTTAATGCTAATGTACTTAAAACAATTTATCCAAAGCCTGGCTCAGTGCATGGCTAAAAATGGTAGCTATGTTTTCAGTAAGGAAGCCAACTTGAGGACAGAAATGAGTGAAGGTAATAACTAGCAAATGACTTCTCCTTTGCCATGGCTTTTTCTCCCCTAAGGAACTCCATGCCATGTACACATCTGGACGAGAACTGGAACACTGAGAGGAAGATGAATGTGTTCGTTCTGCTGGGGGGACCCAGAAAGATGGCTCCTCCTTCACCTCCAATCTGATGTGGTTCTCACGTGTGTACCAGTTTTATTTTCTTGATAGAAGAAGTAAAGGCCTGGCAGGCAAGATGGCTCATCAGGTAATGGCAGCTGCTGCCAAGCCTGGCACCCTGCATTCAATCCCCCACATCCACACGGTGAGGGAGAGAATGACTCCTGTAGGCTGTCCTCCGCACTCCTCTCGAGAACCATGGCAAACACGCATTCCTGTGCATGCACACAAGTAAACAATAAATAAATAAATAAATAAATAAATAAATAAATAAATAAATAAATAAATAAATGTAATTAAGAAATAATAAAAAGGGTGCCATAGTGGTGCATGCTTCTAGTCTCGGCACTTGGGAGACTGAGGCGGGAGAATCTCCTTTGTGAGTTCAAGGCCAGCCTAGGCTACATAGAGAGACCTTGCCTCCAACAAAAGAAAAGGAAGACAAGATTGAAGTGCAGGAGGAGGAGGAGGAGAAGCAAGCACGATGTGCTGGCTCACACCTGTAATCCTGTAATTCCAGCACTTCTGAGTCAGAGGCAAGAACGCAGCAAATTTGAGGCCAGCCTAGACTACAGATGACATAGTGAAATCCAGGCTAGCCTGAGATACACAGTGAGACCCTGTGTCAAAAGAAAAGCAAGAAGCTGGGCACTGGAGAGATGGCTCAGCTGTTAAGAGCACTGGCTGCTCTTCCAGAGGACCAAGGTTCAATTCCCAGCACCCATCTGGCAGCTCACAAATGTCTATAACTTCAGTTCCAGGGGATTCGACACCTTCATACAGACATACATGCAGGAAATGAAAAATGCACCAATGCACATGAAATGAAAAAAGAAAGATTTATTTGTTAAAAAAAAAAAAGACAACAAACAACAAAAAGCAAGACTTGGTCTGAAATGTAGCATCAACTGACCTTAAAGCCCCAGCAATCTTAGGTGGGTGGATGGAAACAGACACCTATAATCTACAGAAGAATGACCAAAAAAATATTCAAGTGACAGATCCCTAGTACATCCAAGAAGAAACAAAAACAACCAAATCTATGCTCCTTTCTGGGCCCGAGAACACCTCCGAGAGTATTACAGATGCTCCGGATAGCAGGACTTCCTCCCTCTCCAGAAGCCACTACCGCCACTTGGGCAGGCCTTGTGCTGGCCGCTGGCCTTCACGTTCTTTGCACTCTTTTATCAATTACTTCCTCAGTCTCTTCTTGGCACTGGCTCCTTCCAGCGCCCTTATCAACCTATTACATTTTCCTTTCCATGTCTTCAGAGCATGTACATGCTACCTCAAACAGCCTAGTTTATTCCCAGGCTTGCTGTGTGAAGATGAGCACATCCAAGGGACCTGTTCTTCCCCAAGGGCCCCTCTGTCTTCAGCCTCCGCTGGAGTGACAAATCATTCCAAAGGACCCGAGTAAAATGAGGACATAGATATGTGCATACCGGCCATGCTGGTCCCAGCTCCCAGCTGATGGAAACAGGCATGCTCTCTAGCCTTATGGGGTAAACTTGACCAGAACGGGAACTACAAACACAAAGCAGGATGAATTCTAGAGAAACAGCTAGCTTGCCTAAGCACAGCGTGGGCAGTTCAGAGATAGCCTGGCCAGAAAGGAGACTTCCGCATGCAGCTGGCAAGGTTGACCCCTGGGGAAAGGGGAATAGCACCTCTCCTTAGCAATGGGCCTGCTCTTAAAATGGCTGCCACTTGAGAGCCTGCCTTAGGAGTGACATGTCACCCAGGAGAGCCTAGAGCAGTGGTTTCTAGAAACAGCAGCAGCTATTCTAGAACACAATTGGGTTCATCCTTTGTCCTCAGACTTTTACTTTAAGGACAACACACACACACACACACACACACACACACACACGCACACGCACACGCACACGCACACGCACACGCACACGCACGTACGCATGCATGCATGCACGCACGCATGCACTCCTGGCTGCCACTCACCTCAGTTTCTCCATTTGTAATCTGGGGAACTTGATAGAAGCCAGTCTCTCACTGTGCACATTCTGATCCACTGAATGGCCAAAAGCCAGGTGTGATGCTTCCACTGCTGTTATCTCAGCCCTTGGGAAGCTGAGGCTAGAAGAGTTCCACAAGTTCAAAGTCAGCTTGGTCTTCATAGTGAGTTCAAGGTCAACCCGGTCTGCAAAGGGAAACTCTGTCTCAAAATTAATCATCATCATCATCATCAAATCAAATAAACAGTGCATTCCAGCCAATGTTCTTAAAAGTTTGAAATAGGTTAGCGCAGAATATAAAGTTTCAGGGCATTTGCCACTGTATTGTGAAACTTACTTTGTCTGCCGGACAAGCCCCAAACTTACTAGTTACATAGGTTTTTACCAGGTTCCTAAGCCAGAGAGACCAATCGATAGGTCAGTAGTGTTCATTACCCAATTGCCTCTTTCCCATTGTTTGCCTGAGGACCAATCCCGGTTCCAAGTGAACTGCAATTTGGCTCAGCTCACTAACTGTGGACACAGTGACCTAGAAAAAGGAGCCGCTCGGTGCTACATTTATTGTCTAGCATGACATCAGCCAGAAAGCATTGCAAAAATAATAATATTATGATCATTGAGGGAAGGCCTGTTACATGCCAGATTCTGTGCTCAGTGTCTTAGGCACACTAGGATCTGTTCTCACAACAAGATGTATGTTATTCAAGGTGTATGTTAGCATTTTTTTTAACAGGAAAGGGAGACACAGAATGGGGAAAGGGGTCCAGGTGGCCCTGGAGTCCCTATCAGTCCATCTTTGGAGTCCTTACTATGACATGCATGTTCCACTTTATAACAAGGTAGCTTTGAACTAGCAGTTCATCCCGTCTGCAGGGAACCCAGTGGGAGCTGTATTAGCCAGCCAGACGTCTCTCCCTGACTCTGACCCACACTGGCTAAAACCCAGTTGGTTTATATTTCTAAGGAAGCGATCAAACTACCCTTCTCAAAGCTGGTGGGGGAGGGGATGTTCCAGAAGGCCTGAATTAAGCTGAGAGGTCTAATTTGGGGACATTCTTAATACACAAAATTTCTTCCAGAACATTTGGTCCTTGGAGATTTCCCCCAAATTGCCAACGATTAGACAGAAAATTCCATCTCCTTCTCCCTGGTTGCCTCACAGTACCCATCGCTTGCTCCCCGATACGTTCGCTCTGAGTTTATTTCCTTAGACAGCTTGAGTGCTTCCTCATTTGCATATGTGACTGACTGTCTTTGATTCACTGGTGAAGCCACATCTGGACAATTACATCGGTTAGGAACCTGTTCCTTGTCCCCAGGAATAGAGGAGAAAGAGGTTCATGAATCAGCTCTCCTGTTAGAGAATTCTGAGTTTTTAAAGTCACCATCCAGATTACAACATCCCCACTTCCCCACAGTTCCAAGGAAATTAGTCAGGGCTTAAATTAAACTTTAACCTTGTTTCAAATTAAAAATACAATTTAGCACATTGGTTTCATATGTTTTACTTCCTAGCCTAAAAAAAAAAAAAAAAAAAAAAAAAAAAAAAAAAAAGCTTCTTACAGCTCCTTGACCTGGGAGCTTCAAATCCTGCTGCACATTCTTCCATTGTCTTATTCACTTCCACTCTCGAACTCACACAGACGCCCTTTGGCATTTACCTCCTTAGTGCTAGCAGAGCCTGCCTGGACCATCCCACCCAGCCCTCTGATTTTAAATATGTTTGTTTGTCTGAGACAGGGTCTCACGTAGCTCAGCCTGCCCTCGAACTCATTGTGTAGCTGAGGACTTTGAACTTCTGATTCTTCCATCTTAAGTCCTGGGATCACAAGGATATGCTACCAAGTACAGCTTATGAGGTGCTGGCTATTAAACCCAGGGCTTCATGCCCATGAGGCAAGGATGCTACCAGCTGACCTACAGCACCGGCCCTGGATTACTTAAGAGATTTTTTTTTTTTCCAATTCTGGAACTATGACTCAGGGCCACCACATGCTAGACAAGTGCCCTACCACTGAGCTACATTTAGTGAAGCTTTTTACTGAAGTATTCATGTACATATCTGCACATGTCGGTTTGAGTATCCACATCAAAGACTGGGTCCTGGTTTGGTCTCAAACTCAGAACAACCTTCCTACCACAGTATCTTAATGCCTGGCTTACATCCTTGAAAAAAGCTGCACCTAGCTTTTTTTCCAGGATTTGTATTTATTTTTTAATTATGTATAAATGGGGGTGGGATATGTGCACATGAGCCCTCTGCCTGTGTGAGCAGCCTGATGTGGATCCTACTTGGGAATCAAACTCTGGTCCCCTGCAAGAGGAATATGTGTTCTTCATCACTGAGCCATCCTCCTAGCCCCAACCAGGCAGTCTTGGAGGTGTTTGTAGGCAGTGACAAGCTGATTCTAAACTTTATATGAAAGTATGAAGGACAAAAAGAACCAAGCTGGAGCTCCCATAATACCCCACATCCCAGAGTGGCAGAACGATAACAGTGTGGATTCAGCACAGACTGCATACTAGAAGACAATCCGCAGGTTCACAAGCACACTCCAACACTTCAGCCCCAAAACAAAGGGGGCTGCTTCCAATACATGGGGCCAGAGCAACTGGACACAGACACTTTTAAAAAACTAAGAGAATACATCAAAACTAATTCCAGATGAATTTATGCTAAAAGATTCAAAGCATTTTTTTTACAATATACATGTACATGTACACATACAATGTGTGTGCACACTCATTGTATATGCATAGGAGAATAAGACTTAGTATAAGTCAAGTTTCTTGATGAGGACAAGAATGATTAGCCACTCAATGCATCAAACAGATAAGCTGGACAACTTCGAAACAAAGAACTGACAACCAGCCAGATGGATCAGTCATAAAGACACTTGCCATCCAGCCAGATGACCTGAGTTCCATCCCCAGGATTCACATGATGCAAGCAGAGAAATGACTCCAAGAGCTGTCCTCTGACCTCCTTTTGTACACCATGGTACAAGCACGCGTGCACACGCGCACACACACACACACACACACACACACACACACATATTAAACAAATGCAATTTTAAAACAAAAACTGCTTATCAGCCAAGCATGGTGGCACAAGCCTGTAATCCCAGCATTTGGGAGGGAGAGGCAGAAGAATTAGTTCAAGGTCAGCCTTAGCTGCATGAGACCCTGTCTCTAACAAAATACAACAAAACAGAACTCCTCATCAAAAGACTCCATTAGAGACCTGGCACAGGGCACAGACTGAGAAAATGTATTTGCAGAAGTATATCTGGAAAATGACAAGCAAATGATATGCTATAAGGAGCAAAGAAATGCAAGACTGTCTGGTTGGGGCTAGGAGGATGGCTCAGTGAATAAGAACACATCTATATAAAGATAGGCGAGCCAGCAGAAGGCGTGGTCTGAGTCTCTCTCTCTCTCTCTCTCTCTCTCTCTCTCTCTCTCTCTCTCTCTCTCTCTCT